TAATTTTAGAAAAAGGAAAAAAGATGATTATTTTCAAATAAGATATAACAAAATTTTGTAAAGTTATACCAAAGAATTATTTCTCAAGAATAAATAAACAAATAAATAAATAAATAAATATATATATATATATAAAACTATTAATTTTTTCTATGCTTGTGTTAAAAAAGAAAAGAAAAAGAAAAAAAAAGAAAGAGAGAGAGAGAGAGAGAGAAAAGAAAAAAGAATAATAATTATTTTCAAATAATATAAACTCAAGAAATATTATTATTTATATTATTATTTATATTTACATTTAGACAACTTTCGTTATCATCGGATTTATCTATACATCCGTGCAGATACAGTCATAGGTCACTTTAATGCTAGTCAATTCATTCGATTAGTGAATGAACGGAGTTGGCTAACTGAGTACAGTGAAACGTTTTCGTCGACTAATTGACTAATAAAGTTACACGGTGTCAGTTGAAAAAGATTTTTTGTCATTTAATTTATTCGACCGTGTAAATGGTTAATAATCGGTCAACTACATGACCGGGACACAATAATCTATATAGCGATAAAAGATTGACACGAGAGAAAGAAAAAGAGAGAAAGAGAGAGCGAGAGAGAGGGAGAAAGAGAGAGAGAGAGAGAGAGAGATAAAGCATGAAACGTGTAATAAAAACTTTTATCACGACGTAAATCCTACATTAGATTACGTCTTTTTACTCATCCATTAATTACTTCGAGATAATTTAATTTATTGCGATTATTAGACAACCATAATCGAACAATTTTTCTTGTTTTTCATAAGATAATAAATGTTATTAGATCAAGGGGAGAAAAAGAAAAAAAAAATAAAACAAAAAGAAGAGAAAAATGAGGAATGTCGTATCAAATTCTTATCAAACGTATTAACAAAGTCCAATCGAAAGACGATGATCAAGGAATAATTTGCGTTATCGTGCGATATGATTGATGACGATTATTTTTATTATGAATTTCAATGTAAAATTCGAAATAAAATATTTCTTTTTATTATATTGAACGGGGGTAAAAAAGAATGTAATAAGTGGAAAAAGAATATGAACGAAGTAAAAAGAGAAAGAAAAAGAAAGAAAGAGAACGAAAAAAAAAAGAAAAATAAGAGACCGTAAGGAAGATTGTTAAAAAAAAAAAAAAAAAAAAAAAAAAAAAAGAAAAAAAAACCACGCAGTTCAAACGTGATAAAGTGAAATGTTGATGTTGACAAGAAAAAGAAAATGAAGAAAGTGTAAGAAAATGTAAGAAAACGTTTAATTTCTGCAACTAATCTTGTATTATTATTTGGCGCTGCGGTAACGTGATGGCGCTAGTGTCGCGATGAAAAAGCCGCAATAAGCGAGCAGCGCTCATATACCTAGCGAATATTTAGAATAAAACTCGATCAGTGGTAGTTCTCATCATCATCATCTATTTTGTCGTCGTGATCGTATCGTCGTGTTAGTTATCGTTGTGTCGTTATTGATGTTGATGTCGGTATCGGTGTCGGTGTCTACAATAATCTCTCTGTAGTCGTTCAAACGCTTCGAACGTTGCTCATTTCATTCAACGAACGATGGTGGTTCTAGATCTTTTCGAAAATATATCTTCAGTTCCGAAGCTTTATTATGGAGCTTTATTCGGAATTGGTTTCAGCTTTTATTATCTATTCGAGGTCGTTAAAGTAAGTAAATGATTAAATATTAAGAATCGTTATATATATATATATATTTTCTTTTTTCTTTCTTTTTTCTCCTATTTCTTTTACATAAAACGTATACTATATCTATTTATATATATTTATTAACTATATATCTATATATATATATATATATAGATATATATATGTGTATATATATATATATATACATATATACTAGAAATTGTCTAGAATCTTCGTGTTAGATAATTTTTTGTTCTCTTGTTAATCAAATATTTCTCTTTCAATTATTCGATTTGGGAATGCGTTTAAAATTATAGAACCCAGCGCGCCAATCACGATTTTGTAAAATATAATCTAAAAAAGGAGATCTTCAAATTGAAGATAAATTATATGGTTATTTTTTTTCCCCCCTTTTTTTTTATTATTATTATTTTTTTTCTCTTTTTTTTTTATTTCTTTTTTTTTTCTTACGTCAATTATCATCCGTTCGTTTTGTCATTCATTATCATCGACATAATATATTAATAATTTAAATTAGTATTAAAACTAAAATGAAATTTATTAGAAGATGCTTTTTCTTTTTCTTTTTCTTTTTTTTTTTCTTTCTTTCTTTTTTCTCTTTTGTTCTTTTCTTCGTTTCTTTTTCGTAATGTATATTAAAAAATAAAAAGGAAACATTATTACGCACTTGTCAATGTATTTTTGTTTCTTACGTGCAACATGCAATGACGAATGTGATATTTTAACCTTACGTGATTATGTGCGTAAGTGTGTGTGCATGCATCGAACATTTGATTCCATTAAAACACGCAGTTTTTATTAAATTATGAAAATAATAATAATAATAATCTTTTTGAAAACTAAACACGTTAATACATTAGAAAGAAGCAAAAGGAAATGAAGGAAGAAAAAAAACGTAGTATCACGATTAATAAATTCAATCGATTCTCTTAAACGTTATTACAATAATTATTGAATAATAAAATTATTAAAAAAAAAAAAAAAAAGTATATTTAGTATCGTAAATGGATTCTCATCGATTATCTCAATCGAAACCTAATTGATTTTCAAGGTATTCATTTTTAATGAAATTCTAGCGAGGTTTTTTTTTTTAATCAACGTATTCATTTCTTTATTCATATATAACATAGTAAATTGAATAATGTATTTATTATATAAGATAACATTATTATTATATACGTAAAACTATTTTTGTTTTCTAATTTATCTTATTCTTTTTCCTTTCCTTTCCAAATCACTTTTTCTCTCTCTCTCTCTCTCTCTCTCTCTCTATCTCTATCTCTATATCTCTATCTCTATCTCTATCTATCTATCTATCTATTTCTTTATATATATATTATGAATATTTATTAAAATGTTAATATATTACTTTGTATAGACCCCACTGTTGGTATGTGCAAAAGGACCCTTTCGTTCCTTCTTAGAGGACCATGTAACATTGGTGAAAAATAAATTTTGGCCTACCTTATGGTGTTTTGAATCACGAGCACAAACTGTATTAGCAAGTATCGTTAGGGCACGTGTATTACCAGCGATTCATTACCGCAGGTTTGTAAGAAGATATTTGTATATATATATATTTATATGTTTGCACAAGAGTGAAAGAGTTAGTAATCAAATTAGAGAGAAAGAGAGAGAAAGAGAGAATGTGAAAGTATTTGAATGAATAAGATTGATCCATTTACGTAATATATTTCCATGTTATAATTTGTACATATATTATTTTCTACATAGGGAAATTTTTACATTATCCGATGGCGGCGAAGTCGCTTTAGATTGGGCCGAGGAAAATTGTCCGACTACGTCACCGATTGTTATCATTTTACCAGGCCTTACCGGTGCTAGTAATACGGAATATATCAAGTGTTTGGTATCAGCCGCCAAGAAGTCACATATAAGATGCGTAATATTCAATAACAGAGGATTGGGTGGTGTTAAATTGAAGGTAAAGAAAAAAGAAAAGGATATAAATAAATAAATAAATAAATAAATAAATACATAATAATAATAATAATAATAAGTTGTTTCAAAATCTTATAGAACGTACTCTCTTTTGTTTGTGATTTATTAAGATTACAATGATCAATAATGACAATTCGTGATATAGTTATCAATAATAAAATCCAACCGGTACGATACATACGTACACACATTTACATACATACGAACATACATACATACATACATACATACATACATACATACATACATACATACATACATACATACATACATACATACATACATACATACATCATACATACATACATACATACATACATACATACATACATACATACATACATACATACATACATACATACATACATACATACATACATACATACATACATACATACATACATACATACATACATACATACATACATACATACATACATACATACATACATACATACATACATACATACATACATACATACATACATACATACATACATACATACGTACGTAGCATTAATGCTACACGCGCGCACGCACACACATACAAAGAGACAAAATACACGTACACCGTGTACCCCGGCAGTTCTATTTAATACAATTTCATTAACGTTAACTCCCTGTTACGAAATCGTTCTCTATTGAGCAGTTACCATCGCGTGACACTATCTTGTAATTTGTCGTCGACCCGTTATTCTCGTTTAGGGCTCTCTAGTATCGACATGAGTTACTATTACTAACATTCAAAGTGATTTTATATATCATTTGAATGAATGATTAAATGATAATGTACGCGAGTACATATGTACTTATATGTCATAATATAAACTTATTTATTTACTTATCCATGTATATATGTATATATGTATATATGTATATATGTATATATGTATATATGTATATATGTATATATATGCAAAAAACGTTGACAAAAAATTTACATCTTCATTACCATTGCTTTTTCTTTTCGTTTTTTTTTCTTTCTGTTCTTCTCTCTATTTACTACTAACAACAATAGACACCACGGACATATTGTGCAGCTAATTGCGACGATCTGGCAGAGATTATCGAACATTTAAAAAAATTACATCCTAATGTTCCCCTCGGTGCAACTGGTATTTCAATGGGAGGGTAAGGATATTTATCTTTTTTTTTTTCTTTTTTCTTTTCTTTTCTTGTACCAATTAAAAAATTCACCTGACAATTAATTCTATCTTATCTTCATTAATAGGAATTTGCATGATTATTCTAGTACATATATATATATATATATATATATATATATATATATACATACTTACATACATACATACATATATACATATCTATACATATTAAATTATATTTCAGATTGATATTAGGTAATTATTTAGCACAAAACGGTGAAGCTGCTAAAGATAAATTAAAGGGATGCTTTATCATCTCAGTGCCTTGGAACGTATTTGCCGCAACAAAAAGCATCGAAGATAATTATATAAATTTGATGCTGAATAAACATCTAGCCAGTAATCTGTGTCGTACGGTTAAAAAATATTACTCCTCTTTGGAGACCGGCTTAGAAAATGTAGATATGAATGACGTTTTACGTGTAAGTATATAATAATAATATTATAATAATAATGATTATGATTGATGATTGATGATTGATGATTAATGATGACGTTGATGACGATGATGACGATGATGACGATGATAACAAACGCGATTGCAAACGTAATATTAAGAGTTTAAAAGAGAGAAAAAAGAAAAAAGAAAAAAAAAAGAAGAAGAAAAGAAAAGAAAAGAAAGAAAAAATAAATGACCCTTGTGCATTATCTTATTTGCATTTTCGTATTTACAATATATTCAATAATTTCAGAGTCAAACCGTAAGAGAATTCGACTCGAATTTTACGACCAAACAATTCGGTTTCAAAGATGTCGAAGAGTATTATCAAAAAGCAACGTTACATGATAAATTGCATTTAATGGAGGTACCGGTTTTGTGCCTTAATGCGGCAGACGATCCTTTTCAACCTTTCGAAGGTAAGTGAAAACACTGACATAGTTAAAAAAAAAAAAAAAAAAAAAAAAAAAAAAAATAAGGAGGAAAAAAGAAAGAAATGATAAAAAAAAATATAAAAAAAGAAATACGTAACTATTCATCTAAATAATTAACAAAATAATTTTCAAAACATAATGATTAGATTATCTTAATTTGTAGCAATACCACTAAATGAATTTAGCAAAACTGAAAATGTCGCCATCGTGGTAACTTCGCGCGGTGGTCATATTGGATTTCTCGAAGGTTTTTGGCCAGTAAAAGAGGAACAATATATCAGCAAACTATTTTGCCAATATTACACTGCTCTATTTACCATTGGTATGGATTTACTTTCCCATTAAAACATGAAGCAATTATTTTGGACATCATCGAAGAGAATCGTCGATGCAAACATTTTTAATAATTATTCGGGGCGATCGTTCAAGATGTGCCATTGTAAGTTATTTGTCTTTTCCATTTTCTTCTTTTTTTATTTTTATATATATATATATATATTATTACATGTCTATATATATGTACACATGTATGCATATATATATATATATAAATATAAATATATATATATATATACACGATACATATGTAGATATATATATAAATGTAAATATATATATATATATTAAGAATGACACGTTACACGACGATGATTAAAACGCGAACAATACATTCCTAAAATAAAAACGGGCAACAAGTTGTAGTATTATTATTATTATTCATAAATTGCATTGTATGCATTAATTACGACTTAGCCACGACGAAGAAAAATTTCATTATACATGTATACATAAGAATATATTTATATATATAGTCTTATATATATATATATATATATAGTGATTATTTTTCTTCGAATTTTGACTATACGATATAAGTGCGTGTGCGTGAGATATAATTTCTTTTATAATAATTTATTAAAAAGAAAAGAAAATAAAACGAGAGAAAAAAAAAAAAAAGAAAAGAAAAGAAACAAAAATAGAAAAATAGAAAAAGAAGAAAAAGTATGTAAGACCACGCGTATGCATTTATCTTTCATAAAAATTTACGCAAATAAAATGTTTTTTCCGACGACGAATATATTATTATATATCACAAATAATAATACCTGAAACCACCCCCCGTAATAATTTTAGAAGATGTACAAACAGTAGTATATAATAACATTTACATACGTTATAGCTTGAATGTTAAATTCAAAGCTTGGACGATGAACGATAATATGTCTGTGTTCTCCTCGATCTAAAAAAAAAAAAAAAAACAAATAGAACAAAATCGAATGTTTATAACGATTGTTAATAAAAACGTGTGTGACATAGTTGAAATTTAAATTAAATAAATAATATTACTAACAACTTTAGTGGTTGGTTTCCCACCGCCATGGCCAGCCTTCGTGTCTATTCTTGCAACTAATGGATTTGTTTGATTTGGTAGATTTCCAAGCGTATATTGTAACGTGGCTATCAGCTTAAGACTATGTAACGGTACAACACGATCATCGTGATCGGCTGTTAAAAGCAACGTAGCTGGATATTGAGAACCATCTTCTGGTATCTTAATATTGTGTAACGGTGAATATTTAATTAAATTTTCAAAATGTTTCGGATCTTCTGAACTTCCATAATCGGAGACCCAAGCAGAACCAATTGTAAATTTATGAAAGCGTAACATATCCATCACACTAAAAGATTATATAAAAAAAAAAAAAGAGAAAAAAAAAAGAAAAAAAAAGGAAAAAAAAAAAAGAAAGAAAATAAAATAAACATATTTCCAATTTAAATTTGTAACTTCTTTTGACACGTTAATTGCCGTGAAAAAACATTTCGCGGAATCTTTATCTATTTTTTTCTTTTTTTTAACTCTTTAAAAATTTTTTTAATATTTCATTTTACATTTAAAAAATAATAAATAAAAGAAGAGGAAGAAGAAAACAAAGAAAGTGAAAAAGAAAAAGAAAAAAAAAAAAAAGAAAAAAGTAAAGAAATATAATATGAGTAAAATGTAAAAAATATGATAATGAATTCTTTTATAAATTTTGTCAATAGATTTATATGCGAAATATTATAAAAGAGATACTAAAATGAACATAAATAATTATGTTATATTTTAGGCAATCAATGTGTCAATATTATCTTTTAATAAGAACAAAAATAACCAACCCGACTTGTGCGATAGCAGCACCAAATAAATTCGGTCGTTGATTTATACAAGCAGCTACCAATAATCCACCATTACTTCCTCCTTGGATAGTTAATTTACTAGATGTAGTATAGCCATTGTCTATAAGATACTCTGCTGCACATTGAAAATCATCGAATACATTTTGCTTATTAAATAGTCGACCACCGTTGTGCCATTTTTCTCCATATTCTCTGAACGATAAAAAAAAAAAAAAAAAGAAAATAATAATAATGTATGTAATAATATAAATATCAATAATATATTTAATTATATTTTTAATTATGCATTCTTACCCTCCACCGCGAATATTTGGAATAGCAAGAACACCATTTAAATGTTGGACAAAGACAAGCCTTGTTACGCTAAATACCGGTTGGACACTAACATTGAAACCACCATATCCATAAAGTAAAGCTGGCATAGAATTGTCCAAAACTGCGTCCTAAAGTGCAATAGATTTTTTGTTTGTTTGTTTGTAAGACTCGTTAGAATATCAATTTTATTAAAAATACTTACACTTTTCATAACGATAAACATGGGAATTTGAGTACCATCTTTACTAGTATAAAATACCTGTGACGTTTTATACAAACACGGATCGAAATTTTTCACTTTGATTTCGCGATATACCTAAAAGAAGAAAAAAGAAAGAGAAAGAAAAAAAAAAGAAATATCAATACATTAAAAAAATTACTTTCATCGATACATCCAATTCATTTTTATTTTTAATACTAACTTTTGGTTCGTCGTCATTTTTAAGATCAGTCATGTATATGACACCAGGCGTTAAAAAGGATGTGAATTGATAAAATATTTCGGAATATTTTTTATTACCAGAAAAACCAATGATCGTACCAACGTCTAATGGAAACGTTCTAAGGATTTTTCCAGTTGTTAAACTATGCAATTGTAAAATATTCTGAAAATTTATATAAATAAATTTATAGATGTTTAATTATGTTTAAATATAATAATTTAATATGTATATGCACTAACTTTAACATCTTGTATGTAACAGGCAACAAACTTATCGCCATCGACTGCGGTAGCCCAGTCTAAAACGTTATCAGGATGTTCAGGTAACAATTCAGTCCATTTATCTTCTTTATAATCTACCAAATCTATTGCTATTAACTTGAAGTTTGGTGCATTTTTGTTTGTACGAAATATAGCTTTGGTACCAACATTCGTCACGTACTAATAATAAAATAATAATCATTATTATTATTATTATTATTATTATCATCATCATTTGCGTAAATAAAATAATCATATTTTTAAATCGTTACATTAAAAATATATATATAGGTATATATATGTAGTTTTTTTTTTTTACTAACTTCATAATCGGCTTCGAGTTTATCAACAACTTGCGTAAGTGGCAACAAACCATCTATTTTAGAGTCAAGTTTTAATTCTGTGAAGTACACTAGATTATCACGACAATCTTTTACTGGTGTAACAATTAACCATTTTCCGCAATCAGAAACTTGTGCTCCTCTAAAAAAGAAAAAAGAAAAAAAGATAGAAACAAAACTAAAAAATTTGTTGCATTAATTAATCGATTGCATCTTAAGAAGATATTCAAATATCACTTACATCCTCCACAATGGTTCTTCTGGGAATTCTACTACAACCACATCCTCTGATTGTGGTGTACCTACACGATGATAGCACAATTTCTGATTCTGATCATCTTGTGTTTCTAATCCATCAACTTTTCCTTTTTGATCACGATATTGTCCATAAAAGACACCCACATTATCATGAGTCCAAGTCAAAGGTGAAAACTTTACTCTCTCCAATACTTCAGGATATTTTTCACCTGTATAATTAATTATACAAATTAACAAAAACAAAATTATAAAAGAAATTACATTTAAGCATACCTCAGTATTAAAGATATATTCACCGTACCGGTATCTGCATTGATAAAATGTATTGTATTCCAATCTGAACCGCTACTGGATAATCCATATGCAAAAATACTACCATCCTCGCTAAATTTGCTAGATGATATTGCAACAGTGCCATCCTCAGAAAGAGTATTTGGATCGAGAAATATTCTAGGTTCGCTATCCAAGGTATCTTGTACATATAATACGCTAAAAATAATATCAGTGAGTTAAGTAAAAAAAAAAAAAATCAAACTACATACTTATAAAAATTTTATTATATATATTACCTTTGATTTTGCAAACCGGTATTCTTATAAAAGTAATATTTATTTCCATGTTTGGCAGGACACATATATTTAGGAAAATTCCATAATTGTTTTAATCTATCGTGAATATCCTGACGCCATTTACACGAAGCTAAATATGGTTTGGTCAATGCATTTTGCGCTTCGATAAAAGATTCTGTTTCTTCTGAATTTGGATCTTCTAACCATCTGTATGGATCGCATATCTGTACAATCAATTTAATTCGTTAAATTATCTAAATATTTTATTTTTATTTTGCCTAATAATCAGCTTGTGTCTAATACATATTTAAAATATTTTTAATATTTCATTAAGGATGCGTGTGAACGTTAAAACAAAAAAAAATAAAAAAAAAAGAAATTAACTAATACCTTCACAAATAATGGAAATTTTCATTTAGCATATATTTATTTTATACAAGAGATAAGAATATTCTGCTCAGTCATCATACTGATAAAATTCTCTTTGTTCGGCCCCAACGAGAGGTCGTCCTCAATACAAAAATATACATTTTTTTTATTATTTTTCCGAAAGAAGTCAAATTTCTTGAAAATAAAAAAGAGAACAATTTATCGGAAACATTTTTAAATAAACGAGCCAACGTCAAAATAAAGAAGAAGAATTTTTCAAATGCGAAAAATTAGTATAATCGTAACAGTGAAGAAAAAAAAAGAGAGAAAGAGAGACAGAGAGAGAGAAAGAGAAAATTAGACATAACCTCTAAAATTAAATAACGAAAAATGTGTACTAACCTCAACACCATGATATTTTTCAACAATAGATTCGTCGCGACGAGCAACTGGATATTCTAATTTTGTCATTGTTGTTGATTTAATCTTGTTCCTTGGTCCACGATCGTAAAAAGCCTAATTGTGCAGAAGAAGTTCGTGTAATGATATTAACAGAATAAGGAACGCAAGAAGAAAGGAGATATTCAAGAGATAAAGAGTGGGGAGAGAGAGCAAGAGAAAGAAAGAAAGAGAAAGAGAGAGAGAGAGAGAGAGAGAGAGAGAGAGAGAGAGAGAGAGAGAGAGAGAGAGAGAGAGAGAGAGAAAGAGAGAGAGAGAGAGAAAGAAAGAAAGAAAGAAAGAAAGAAAGAAAGAAAGAAAGAAAGAGAAATATAGAGAGAAAGTGAGAGAAAGAAAAAAAAACGAACAGAGGTTACCCAGTACATTTATATTGTTTACTTCGTTTTACATCCTTACTTGTGTCGTCTTAGAAAACGATGAAATACGGATTAGATGTAAGTTAACAGAGCTTAGCGTATTTCTTAAAACGTTTCTGTCGATCCCTACGACACACCTAAAAAACTGCATCTGAAATACGTTTACACTAAGAAGAGTGATATATATATATATGTATATATATATATATGTATATATATATATATATGTATATATATATGTATATATATATGTATATATATATGTATATATGTATATATATATCCTCCTAATCTTATATATCAAAAATTATTGCTATCGATTAATAGGATTTTTCTTAAAAACGAAAGTAAATAATTTTCGTTTAAATGATAATTACGAAAAATTCATCGCTTTAGATCGTAGTACGATTTATTAGAATCTTTTTTTTTTTTTTTTTTTTTTTTTTTTTTTTTTTTTTTTTTTTTTTTCTGAGCTGCGAATACAATATGACGGAGAGAATCTAATCGATTAAATGTGAAATCAATAATTTTCATACTACGAATTTTAACTCGAAACATTTGTTCTCACAAAAAAAGAATTATATCAAAATAAATTATTCACTTGATAGCAACGATAGAAATTTTATCGACAATTGATATCGTTTATTAGATTTTTACAAAGGTTAGATAATACGTGATTACGATTGAAAGGAAAGAGGAGACATATTGAATAAATATCGTTAAAAAAAAAAAAAAAAAAGAAAAAGAAGAAAAAAGAAAGAAAGAAAGAAAAATTTCTTTAAAAAGAAGACAAAAAAGATGTAAAAATTATGTTTATTATCAATAGGACAAATAATTTATTGAAAGGAATTCTTTTTTTCTTTCTTTCTTTCTTTCTTTCTTTCCTTTTTCTTTTTTTTTTGTTTTTTCATCTGTGACATATAAACGTACGTACGTACATACATACATTGAACGATCGTATTACAAATTGATAGAAAATCCAAGGGGTGTCCAGGATGAGAGTAAGAAGATATGTGTTCTTATCCAGTGGCCTTAATTGCCCCCTCTTAATAGCGTATGATAATAATTGACACGTAAACGTGACTTTATAAGAGATTTTAGCCAGCCAATAGAAACTATCGGCATAACGTTATATGTCGTATCTTGTATGGCCATTAACCTCATCGATTGGATTATAACGTTTATTTCTTTTAATAAATTCGTACAATATTTATTTTCCAAAAGCTACTATTATTTGATATAATTGATATAAAGACAAACAAATGTCCCTCGTTTTAATTATTTCTCAGAAATTCGATTAGACTTTGATACGGTCGATAAGAAAGATTCAACTATTATCGATGTTTATTCTTTCTTGTCATTATTAAACTGGCATGCATGTGTGTGCTTGTGTGTGTGTATTATGTGGTATATATATATATATATATATACATATGTATATATAAGCGTAATGTTGGGTAATGATGAATACGTATTCGCAACAAATTTATTTTATTTACATTTATCTTTTATATTTTATTTATAATCGATAATTATCTTCAGAATATGTTTATTTGCGTGCAAGAATTAATTTATTATTTAATAATCATTTTAAAGAGGAATTCATTAATTATTTATTATTTTTTTAACACGAAATACGTATAACGATCAAATTAGAAATTCGCAGTACTGAAAAACTGACTTGGTTTTTTTCTACTTAGTTAGATTAAAAATCCCTAGGTCGTTCAAAAATTTCTTGAAATTGGTTATTTCTTTTTTCGAGACTTTTTATGGTTATTTTCTTTTTCTAATGTGTAAAATTAATAAGCCTAGTTAAATACAATATTACAAAGTCTCGAAGAAAAGATTTTATTCACATTTAATATTCAAATAACAAGTTTTGACCTAACCTATATATATATATATGAGTACATATATTTCTATTGGTTAAATTAATTTAATATATAACTATTATATATACTTATTTTACACAGGTAATTTTTATCGTTCAAATATTTTATTTGATTTTATGATGAGAGAAAAAAAAGCGTAGGAAAAATTTAATTTTTTTCATAATCATAAAGTTCCTAATAATTATTAAAACGAATATTAATATCACGGAATATATAATCAATATATGTCGAATGAATGCCTTATTGATAAAAACAGTTAATACATATAATCATTAAATTACGATAAAATTGTCGATAATGTTATTGAGACATAAAGAGGGAACGAAGAATGAAAACCTGAAGAGCGAGTAAACAAATAAATAGATCCGTGTGCAAAATATGTTTGAAAAGAGACAAAATATGTTGGAAAGAAAAAAGTTATTTATGGCAACTAGACGATAATTGTCTTTTCTCTTTCTTTTTTTTTTTTTCCTTTTTTCTTCTTTTTTTTGCAATCACCAGTTATCGAATATTACTTTTAATAAACGAAGTCCTTCTCCTTGTTGTTACAAAAAATATATATATATATACGTATAAATCGATGTCAAAAGAAACTTTATAAAATTTGGTAAAATTTGTTAACATTATGTACATGTATATATATATATATATACATATAATTTATATATTTTATTTATATATACAATTTATATATTATTATGATTGTTATGTATATAAAATTTGTGTATAGACTGGTCCAAAAGTTCTTAGGTGATTTTAAAAATCAATTACTTTTTTTTCAAAATTACATTCAATATACATTTAAATTTGTATATATAAAATTAGTACATAGGAACAAATTATGCTTATTCAATTTAATATATGAATGTATATATGAGATCTAAATATAAAGATTTATATATCACATAAAGAAAATTGAACGAATGAAATTATCTCGAAACTTGAATCTGGAGCATGCTCTTCTCTATTTTTTTCTTCCTTCCTATTCTTTTTATCCCTTTTTTTCATTAGATTATATTATTTAAAAATTTCTGAGTTGTTTAACCTCTATAAAATAATTTATATATGTATGACCGTCTCTCTCTCTCTCTCTCTCTCTCTCTCACTTTCAACGAGATTATAAATATATTATATATTTAATATTAATTAAACAGCATATATATTTATGAAAACGATAACGATAAATATTTTTCTTTAACTTCGTTTGATCATAATTTATCGTCTGATTCATAGAATTATTTATGCATATGGAAAAAAGAAATGCACAATGCAGGTGTAACCGATAAGAACACTTATATAAGATTTGTGTGCATAATATAGACATTATATTTTCATGTTTGTCCGTGGATTATCGAACGAAAATTTTTCCTTCTCCACTTGTACTATCGTGTTTTTCAATTTTACGCAAGAAGCCACACGCGAATCTTAAATGAAGCTTTATCTTTACTTCTTCTTTTTTTTTTTTCTTTTTCTATATTTTTTCTTCTCTCTCTCTCTCTCTGTCTCTTTTTCTTCTTTTTTTTTTTCTTTAATCCAAAAGAAGATACATAAACAAGGGCAATATCTTTGAAAGAAAAATAATCGACGATTTTTATGTAAGTAATAGAATAATCTTCTCTCTTCCATAATAATGTGATTATTAAATTTTCCATTATCAATGCGTTTAAAACACAAAAAAAAAAAAAAAAATAAAAAAAAAAGAAAAAAAACAAACAAGAAAAAGAAGAGAGAAAAAAATAAGATTCTCAATAATCGTACTCGCATGATCGAATGATCCAATCGTCGTAAATTCAATCGATATTACCAAACTTTTCAATCGTATTTCAACGGTGTTACCCAACCAATAATAGTTACAATCCTGAAATGTCGGAGAAAGAGAGAGGGATAGAAAGAGAGAATGAGTGAGAGAGAGAGAGAGGGATAGAAAGATAGAATGAGTGAGAGAGAGAGAGAGAGAGAGAGAGAGAGTGAGGTAGTAAATAAGCAGATAGATGATAGGGGGCAGGAGTGACGAGACAAAAACGAGAAGATGGCGTCAAGTACGATATCACGTGTAAATCAGCTGTACTTTGTGCTTCGAACTCGAGATAACCTCTTTGCGTGTGTTAAAAGACCTTTTCCCGTTTCCTTTCCCCTTAACTCTTTAATGCCTATGAGGAGTATACTTAATATAACGTCAAAAGTCGAACGATCGATCAGTATTCATCGAGAAATTCAGAAGCTCATCGATTCGAAGACATTCGTTTTTATATTCGCGTGAATATTATCAACGATAAGGATAGATTCATTTTTTAACATTTATATATATATAATTTGTCTCTTACTCTCATTCTTTTTCGTTCGTTCTTTTTTCTTTCTTTTTTTTTTTCCAACAAAGGCGCGAGTGACGCGCGCATACACATAATACACATATATATATATATATATATATATATTCAAAATTTAGGCGGGAAATTTAGTGCCAGTGTTAAATATATTTCAATAGTCAATTGGAAAGATTGAAAATTTTAATTCTTTCAATCTGTCAGCACACGGAGGAATGCAAAAGGATTGTCGAGACTGTTTGGGTATCCGATACCGCATCAACAGTCTGGATCAAACGTGGAAGTGGTTACATCAGACCATTGCCCTTCACGACTATCTAATATCCATCACGGCGAGTCAATCCGACGTCTCGAGACATACAATTTATTAGAGTAAGAGTGAGAAAATAAGAAAGAAAAGAATTTTTTATTTACGGAGAAAATTATAAAGCAAGGCTATTTCTCTGATCTCACAACTTCTTGTCTCGAGGTAATATAATATTAGAAAAAGAATAATAATAATAATAATAATAATAATAATAATAATAATAATAATAATAATAATAATAATAATAATAATAATAATAATAATAATAATAATAAAAAGAAGAAGAAGAAGAAGAAACCTTGACGTTCATTTAGTCCTAAGACTGATAAAAAGTATCGTCGGATTGTATTCCTAATAACATAGGAAGAAAGAAAAATAATAATAAAAAAAAAAAAAAAGAACAAAACAAGAAAGATAAGAAGAAAATCAAGTGACCGCCAAACATTTGTGTTCTACTTTACCGATCGTCGAAAATTAAGATAATAGTAGTTAACATAGAGTTCTCTGTCTCTCCTTTTTTATTTTGCTCTATCGATAAAGTCACGTGGATACGAAAGTGGATAAAATAGTACTGTGTACGTCGTGTACGCGAGGGAGAGAGTGAAATTGTAAAGATAAAAAAAAAAAAGAAAAAAAAAGAAAAAAAATGTCTCTGATCAGTAAGTGCGGTAACATCGTCATCGGTAGGACTTTACTCTGTTGTCGTTTAAAAACAATCGATCCAACGAAATTCCACTTAAGATGGTCCTCGTCGTCTAGTTTCAATGAGAAACACGGACAAAACGTCAACAATAACGATATCATAAGAAAGTCAGTATTTATATCGCAATCGAATGATGTGTTCACCAATCTGGCATTGGAGGATTGGCTATATCGTAATTTTGACTTCACGAATCATCATGTATTGCTCTTGTGGCGTAATGATCCGTGCGTCGTAATCGGCCGTCATCAAAATCCTTGGCTCGAGTGCGATACACGTATTACGGAGAAACATGGTATAGCGTTGGTACGCCGTAATAGCGGCGGCGGTACCGTTTATCATGACAACGGCAATCTAAATCTATCATTTTTCACGCCAAAACAAAGATACAATAGGAGATACAATTTGGACATTATTACGAGAGCATTATATCGTGAATGGGGATTGAAAGCTGTTGTAAACGAACGTGAGGATATTATCGTCGAGGGACGATATAAAGTATCCTTTGATGTAATGTATCGTACAATATTTCAAATTTCTTTTTTTATGGCTTTCTAGGAGACGTTTCAAAATTGCACCACTTTTCTAATTTTCTCTTTTATACAATTTATATATATATATATATATTTTTTTTTATATATATTTGTATGTATATCGTATTACTCTGTATGATCTTTAAATCAACAATCGCAAGTTCAAGCGGTGTAATTAATATTGCACTGTTCAAAGATAAGATGACTGTTCATTTGTCTATTTTTCTTTTTTTTTTTTATTGTTCATTTTTTCTCTTTTATTTCCTTTTTAAATTTCTTTTTTGTTTGTTAATCGATTTGATCCATTCGTCTTAATGTCCAATGTTTCCTTGTTAAGTAATATATTATATATGAGAGTTGATACCGCGCGTTGTGTTCTTATATATAAAAAAAAAAAAAAAAAAAAAAAAAAGGAAGAGGTCAGCCATTTTAAAACGTCTTCTAAAAAAAAAATCGAACGTTATCAATCGTCTATGTATGTATGTATCCTTGACTGTATTATAACTCAGGTATCTGGTACAGCGGCCAAATTAGGACGACCCAATGCTTATCATCATTGTACGCTCTTAGTTGCATCTAATAAAACATTGTTGAGTATGATCCTTGAAAGGAAAGAGGTAAAAAAAAAAAATAAATAAATAAAAAAAAAAAAGAAAAAAAAAAAAAAAAGAAAAAAAACAAACTTTCAAATATATTCCAATAATATTTTATTTTTATCCATCGAAATGATCGTTATAAATCTCTCTCTCTCTCTCTCTCTCTCACACACACATACACACACACACATACACACACACACTTTTTTCTATTTTTTTTTCTTTTGTTCGATTTTACAGACTGGAATTAAAACAAATGCTACAACGTCTACCCGTTCCTCTATAAAGAATCTAACGGAAGTTAATTCGAAGGTAGAAATAGATAAACTGATAGATACCCTAGGTTGGGAATATTTACGTACAAAACCACTTGTTCTCGAAGACGGTGGTTACGATCATATACAAGAACAAAAAGGATTTCAATTGATTAATCCCACCGAGGATTGGTTTCCAGGTATTGTTAAATTTATTATTTAACAATGATATTTTATTTTAATAAAAAATAAACAATATGTTATGTTAAACATTGTTATTTTAGGTATAGACAAATTGAGGGAAGAATTTTGTTCGTGGGAATGGATATACGGAAGGACACCACAATTTTCAATAACGAAAGATTTCGATATGCCAGCACCAAATGGTAATCTTTATCGGGTTAATTTGACATTGGAAATACAAAAGGGTATAATAGAAGAAATAAGAATGAGTTTGCCGGCCAATTTGGCTTCACCCGATTTAAATCAAAATGCTAACGTATTAACAAATCTACGAGGCATGAGATATGATAGCGACATTATGGACAATATAATCGCATTGATCAGTTGCAAGAATTTCGCTGAGAGCATGTCGCAGAATATAAAAAAGACAAATATGGTCGCGACTCAATGATAGATCGTTACTTCCTTCGAACGATCCCAAGAAGTAACATCGATAAGATAGAGGATGAAGGACAAACGAAGGAATCACAATTATCGTTTATAGATAACGTGTTTTCAACGTGACAATACATATTGACATCACGATGACATCACATTTTATTTAAGATTCGTAAGCCTTCTGTATTGTAACTGTATTTTTATTTTATTTTATATGTTTTGCTTTTTTTCTTTCTCCCCCTCCTCCTACCCCTCCCACCCTTTTCCTTTTTTTCTTTCGTTTTGTTTCGTTTCGTTGTTCGTTCCCTATAAAGAGTAAAGTGTGTATATATATATATATATATATATTTTCTTTTTTTTTCTTTTGGAAAATCACATTACATGTTTATCAAAGATTCACAAGTCTTTTTATTGTAACCATATTTTTTCTTTTCTTTTCTTTTATATCTTTCTTTATTTTTTCTGCCCTCTTTTTTTTATGTGTATATAACTACTTATTATACATCTCACAGTGTTGTATATATGTATATATATATATATATATATAATCCTTTATACATACATATATATATATATATATATATATATATATCGTATATATTATAACGTTATAAAGATAACGTTATTAAATAAATAATTATACCATAGATATTTTACATAAGAAAAATAACTTTAAGACTAGACATTTATCTTTTAATATTTTCAATCGCGAAACGTTCCTCTCTTCAATTTTCCTTTCTCACTCTTTATTTCAGATTTTCAATCTTAACTCACTCTTAATCAGATATAAATCATTCTCATTTTTACGTTATATCACGAAAGAGAAAAAAAGAATTATGTTATATTTTTTTTTTTTTTTTTCATTTATTATTATCATCGTCATTGTTTCGTTTTTTCTTTTTTTCCTTTTTTTCATTTATTATTATCATCGTCATTGTTTCGTTTCTTTTTTCTTTCCTTCTTTCTTTTTTTTTTTTCGAATTTTTTTTTTTCACAGAGCCGTTGTACGGCGAGCAGGTTAAATTGATTTTATTAATTTGCCATGCACATTATGCGATGCGTAATATAGTAGAGTCCCTTTTTTCTAACGTTACTTTGATCACGTACCGTATCCGGCAGTATTGTTATTTAAATTGGAGTTGCGGCTCTATAAAGTCCCGGTCGTAGAATAACGTCACGATACGGTGGCGGAGGAGTACCTGGACAGGATATTGTTTGACTTGAATCGAACGTAGCCTCTGTTGCGACGTGCCATTGATTATGAAGTAGGAAAAGTCTCTGTGGATCGTCGTTAGTCGTACGATCACGATAATCGTTTTCACGGGAACAGCATATGAATTTTTTTAAAAGGCAAACATAACAAACAACCATACTGCTGGCACAGCCAAGTAAAAATCCCATAATTAAAAACCAATATGGCGATATCTTTGTGTATCTGTTATCGTTAATATTTTGCGTATCGTTCGTCGTTGATGTTGACGTATTTTTTAAATCATTGTCGCATCTCGTCGTTTCCTTAATTATCCTGTATTCCTTAGAAGAAATCGTAGAATTCGTACGAACTTTCGAATCGATCAATGGCTTCATCATCATCATCTTTTCAAATTTCTTCGTTCCTTTTATCGTCTTGTTACAAATCAGATCGTATTCTATCTTTCTCGAACGAAGATTATTCTCAAGATCGTACATAATACCGTTGCAAGACCAAGGATTTCTATAATAAGAAAAAAAAAAAAAAAAAAAAAAAAAGAAACAAAAAAAAACAAAAAGAAAAAAAAAAACAAGAAGACGAAGAAAATGAAATAAAATGTTAATTATTATAGCCGGTAAGGTGTTATAGTAAGTTTGACCACCTTATCACCGAATGCTTTACGACGTTTAATGTATAAAGCAACTGGTGGATTCTTTCAAGTATAATTGGCGATCTTTTATAACGTAATAAAAGATCCTTCACATTTTCTTTCTAACCAATGCCATCGTCGGTTATTATAGTTGACAGTCGGAACTAATGGAATATTATATAGATAGATATATACAATACGTACATACATACATACATACATACATACGTACGTACGTACGTATATACATACACAGATGGATATATATTATATACTGTTAAGAAGACATCAACATACCCTTCTAATGATACTTTCCTTAAGAATTGTAAGGGCTTCAGGACAACGTTATCTAGCTGAATCATCAAGTTGTTTGTAAGATCGAGGCTTCGAAGATGAGTCAGTCCGGCGAACGTGTCCACAGGTATGTGGCTGATTTGACACGAGTGCACATCGAGTTCCTAAGTAAACAATTCATATAGACAGTAGTAAATCGACACTTATTCGATAATGATTCATTATTTTGGAATTATTTTATTTGTATGAAATTATATTATACATCTCTGTAATATTTACCTTCAACCATGGACATTCGAGCTTTGGTACGTGTACATTAAAATTGTTCCTCGATAATTTCAATATACGTAAGTTCTTCGTCTCAAGAAAGATATTCGGAAGTAGATAATAAAGATAATTCCTTGATAAATCTAATACAGTCAATTCGGTGATACCGGAGAAAGCTTCCAGGCTAATATCGCTTATTGAATTTTTCGATAAATTCAAGTACTTTAAATTGGTTAAGCCTGCCTCCTGAAAAATTATACAATTAACACGTTACATTGTTACAAGATAGGAGGTAGGGAGGGAGTGGGAGAGAGGGAGATGTGGAAGAAATATAATTACTAGAAACATGTAATAAATAATAATTGAGGAAGGCAAGAAGAGTCAACGGAACAAAAAAAAAAATACAAGAAACCCCTTATCCAACGAAAGAAGAAAATCGAAAAAAAAGAAAAGAAAAAGAAAAAGGAAGATAAAAAAAATTAGTCCTTAAGACAAATAAAATTTGTCTTGTTGACTAAATTGTCATCATCGTCATCATCGTCAATAATAATAATAATCGATATCCACAAATATATATATATATATATACATATACACATACATGGATGCATACTTACAGCAAGTTCGTAATTTCCCAATGAGGATATCGTATTGTCCGATAAATCCAATGCTTGTACAAGATTCGATGAACCGGTATGAATACTGTAAAGATGTCGTCCGGAGCAACTGGCACGTTTCAATTCGTACCAAATGTCACAATCGCACAGTGCCGAGCAAGAATAATCGGCAATAACGAAATCCTTTAGGATAACGATCAAGACTACGAGGATCGCGAGAAAACGCGAACTAGCGATTATTCGGACGTTCATATCGTGTTTCACGGTATATAAAAGCGTAATAAGATATTTTGTTGTCTCATTATTACGGCTCGACACGATTTCTATCGCGATAGAACGAAAGAGATGCTTTTAGAGGTGGTGGCACACGCGAGGAAAGAAGCAGTCGCGACAGAAACGTAATCTTATCTCTTTCGTTATACGCTTATACATATACATCCATAGATACCATACACACACACACACACACACATATATATATATATATATACATATATACATACAATGTACGTATTGATGTTATATATAATACATGTTTAGTGTTGAACAAAAGACCTCTCCCAAAATGTTCTTCTTTTCGTATATTATCGAACCGTTCAAAATTCAAAATCTATTTTGACATTTATCGCTTTCTCTCTCTCTCTCTCTTTCTCTCGCGGTCTCTCTCCCTCTCTCTCTCTCTCTCTCTCTCTCTCTCTTTTTCCTTTGTCACTTTTAAAGCTGTAATTTAAAGAAAAAAATTTTTACGATGCTAAACAAAAAAAAAAGGATATGAAAAGGGATAAAAAGAAAGCGAAAGAGAGAAAGATGAAAGATGAAAGTATAAGTGAGAGTGAAAGAATGAGTGAAAGAGTGGAGAAAGGAGGGGATTTTCTGTCGTCATTAAACGTGGAACGTTTCTAGGAAGATCATTGTGTCGTGAACGACATATTACGACAACCGGCCGATCCTCGTTATTTGCACGAAGTCCCAGTCTTTTGAGATTGAATCGAAAAAAAAAAAAGAAAACATGATTAGGAGAGATCAAAAGAAAACAAATCTCCAAAAGAACTTAAAATAGTAATTTAAGTTCGTTTAGATTGTTAATCGTTATCGTTGAAGAATGTTAAACGAATGATGAATGATAATGGTTTTATCGTTCATCTATGGTATGGAACGACATAAACAAAATTTTTCAATAGTTCGTCGAACTTTCAATCTTCTTCGCCATTTTTATCAACTATATATATATATATATATATATATATATATATACATATATATACATATATCATATATATAGATGGGAAACATATATATATATACGTATATATATATATGTACATTTGTGTGCACATATATACATATATACACGTATATATATATATGTACATTTGTGTGCACATATATATATACACGTATATATATATATATATATATGTACATTTGTGTGCACATATATATATATATATATATTTATATCTTTACGTCACAGTCCACTCGCAACTTGAGTGATAGAGAAGAGATATTCTCTTGGTCGTACGTACTCCCCCATAATATAATCATCGTTTATTTGATTTCAAGCACATTTTCGCGCGATTTCGTCACTGACGATCGTCATCGCGAAAAGCGTTCTCCGATTTGACTTGCCCACGCTTGCGCGTCGTGCAAGAGAAATAGAAAATAAAGAAGGAACGAAGGAAGGAAGGAAAGAGACAGAGAGAGAAAGAGAGAGAGAGAGAGAAACGCAGCATAGAAAGAGAAAGAGAGAGAGAGAGAGAGAGAGAGAGAGAGAGAGAAACGCAGCATAGAAAGAGAAAGAGAGAGAGGGAGAGCGTTGATGACGAAAGCAACGATAAACGTAGGTATGGCGTAGGACGCATACGGTTATGGTAGGGGAAATAACGAGTTGGATCCGTAGGGCGGCGCTAGTATCGTTCTCAGTCGAGCGTGCCGGGCGCGTTTCTATGCGTTCCTCGATAAATATATATATATATATATATGTATATATGCATCTATATAAATACGCAACACGATCCTAACGTGACGCATTATCACGGGGGACAAACGAAGCTAACGAATCAAACGAAACAATGGACGTGGGAAGAAGGGCGACGGAAGGAAAAGGGAAGGAAAAATAAATTCGAAAATGTTTAATTCACTGTAATCGAAAATAAAAAGAGATCGTTTATTCGATTTCGTGAGATAGACAGAGACAAAGACATATATATATATATATATATATATATATATATATACATAGAAAGAGAGAGAGAAAGAATTTGGTAGTATCAGTTTAAATATGTGTCGATATAATGAGAGTCTCCATGGGCGACGGTCGGTTAAGAGCATCTCTCTCTTTTTCTCGAAGTCGAATGGCGCGCGTGTCGTTCCATTCTCTCTCTCTCCCTTCTCTCTCTCTCTCTCTCTCTCTTTTCATCTCTTTTTTCCTCTTTCAACGAGTCGTCCCCGTTTCGTCACCGGCGTCGACACAGCTGATGCGCCGTCTACGCGTACGCGATGGCAACAGCTGATCGAGAAATCCACTTAGTTGGTTAAGTATTTATATTGATATAGAAATAGTTAAAACGTATTGTTTTACGTTTAATTTCGTTTCGTTTCGTTTCGTTTCTTTTCGTTTTCATTTCGTTTAATTTAATTCAGTTTAATTCAGTTTAATTTAATTTAATTTAGTTTAGTTTCACGTTCCCCCTCCCCATTCGCAGAGGAAAATTCTTCACGTTAATATGAATTATTTTCAAGATTCTCCGACTCTTGATTTTCGAAAGTTTTCTCTACGATGGTTGAGTGACAAGAGTTGTGAAGTAGGGGAGGGGGAGGGAGGGCATGGGGAGCAGGGAATAGAGAGTGAGGTCTGGAGAGTTGAGAGAGTGAGAGAGAGAGAGAGAGGAGAGGAAAGGAGGACCAAACGCGTTGTGAACGAAGAGTAAGAGTAAGAGTAACAGTAACAGTAAGAAAGGAAGAAAGAGATAGAATGAGAACAGAGAGAGAGAGAGAGAAAGAGAGAGAGAGAGAGACAGAGAGTGAGAGGATGGGAGGGAGGGAGAGAAAGAGAGAGAGAGAGATGGGACGAAAGGTAGGGAGGGAGGTAGGTAGGTTGGTAGGTAGGTAGAGAGAGAAAGAGATAGTGCGAGAAGGGGAAGAAAGAGGGGGGTATGGTCGGTTTTCGTTACGGGGGGAGGAGGTACGGTGATCGGAGGGTCTCAGTCAGTTAGCGCGAGAGAGCAAAAGTAGTTAGAGGGAACGAGCGAGGGAGGCAGTCGCACCGCGTTCCGGCCTTTCCCCCGTTTCTCGCTCCCATGTCTCGGCCAATCGGAGTAAGTAGGTCATAGCTGTCGGCCAATGGCGTATCGCCGGCCGGTCACGTGCCTTTGTTGTTATCTATCAGCTGTTTTTCCTAAGGGAGAGAGGGAAGGGGTTAGGAAGGCGGGTGGCCGGCCGGCCGGCGCAGTGAAAGCCGCACGGTTCCGTCCGTCCTCAGTCCTTCCCGGCCGCTCAGCTGTGCGTCACATGTCAGA